ACTGAATGAACTAATTGAAATTCCTATAAGATTAAATGAGAGCACCAACTAGCACAAAAACGATATTCAACTGAATGATTTCACAAATCAGTTAGTTCAACTTCGTTCCAAGGAAAGGCATAGTTGTTATTAATTCAGGTGAAAGTTATTTTTAGCTAATCTATAAGTTGAACTATAAGTTATTTTTAGCTAATCTATAAGTTATTTTTAGCTAATCCAACTGAATGATTTCACTAGCTTGTCAAGAATTTGGTGAGCATGAGAATTATACTTGTTGGGGACATACTGATGAAATTCATTGTAATCAAATCAAATAATTAAGTTAGGAATTAATTTTTTTCCTTACTTGCCATTGTAATTTAGGAAATCTTAATCTATTTCCTTGTTTGTTAATACGAATTAGGAAATAACTATTAAGCATTCCAAATAGGATGAGATCATATTTGTTAATATTTAAATAAAAATAATATATATTAAATAGAAATAATTTATATTAAATAAATACAAAAAATAAAAATAAACTTCATTTAATGGAGGCTCACCTCCTCCTATTTAAGGGGAGGGATTTCTCTCCTTCGTTCCTCACATAGCCGAGCCTTACAGTTGGAGGAACGAGAAGTTACACCCTGCTGACGAGAGGTAGGTTTCCCTACCTTAAAATAAAAGTTTTAGTTTTTATTTTGATTCTTTAAATGTTGAAAGCTTTGTAGTTTGAAAATATTTATCAGTTCTTTAAGTGTCAAAATTTTATTGTTGCATTAAAATCTATTAAAGTTTTTATAATGTTTTTGATCCCTGCTTAAGATTTTTATTTTTAGATTTAAACATGTTAAAAATTTACATGTTTTATATATTAAATATATGATATTTCCTGGCATCACAACTTATTTTTAATCTTATCTAGATTAGAATTCCTGTTAGATTAAAATATGTTATCTAAAATTTTGATATTCTTTGATCTAAAATTTAAAATGTGTTATTCTGAATGATTTAAAATTTATTTGACTAGAATATGTTAAAATTATACATGTGTTGAAAATATGATTTCTATTTGAATTTAGAAGGTTATTTCCTTATATTAAAGCTTATCTCCGAAACGAATATGTTGAAATTATACATGTGTTGAAAGTATGATTTCTATTTGAATTTAGAAGGTTAGTTCCTTGTATTAAAGCTTATCTCGCAATCTATCTTTTAATGTATTATTATGTTTTTATTTATATAATTGTTAGTGAATATATGTTGTTGTATGAAATTGGATTGAAATTGCTCACAAGTCAGGCCCAACCCATAGATTAGGCCACAACCCATTGGCCAGGCCCAGTTAGTAGACCAGGCCCAGCCCGTAGGCTAGGCCCAACCCACGGATCAAGCCTTGGCCCGTAGGCTAACCCAGCCCAACCATTATGAGTGGTCACATGCGACACACATAACCAGTCCATGGGCCAGGATTGGGCCAGCTTTGTGTGATGCATGCCTAATCATGTGTAATGTACATGACCAGTAGATGAGTTGACCCAATCTAACCCAATATTATTGTTGGATTAGAGCCCAAATATTGATTGAACTGAACTAGGCTTGATTAGTCTAGATCGATTCAGGGTGATTCTGAATTGATTGACTTATTCAAGTCAGTTTAACCTAAATTGAACCTAATCTAGTCCAAATTATACTAGTTTAGGATGGTTCCAGACCAGTTAAATGAGGATTAGATATCGATCCAATTAGGTTCTAGTAAATTGAGTTCAATTGGATCGATTGAGCTAGAGTTCAAGTCAATTGAAAGCTAATTTGTATTATTTGATATTGATGATATTTGAAAGAGATGTTTTAAATGTGTTATTTCATCCCAATATGGACATGACCAGTGTGAGATTATGGTATTTCCCTCCCGAGAGCAGGTAGGGCGATTCCCTTCAAGGATTAACGGGCCATCAGACGTGACGGTTGGACAGTACCTCCATCCGCTATTGGGAGAAACGTGTCCCTACTTTGGCGAGTGAGGGACACCACTCCATCCACTGTTGGGAGTGCGATATGAGTTTGGCTCCATCCGCTGTTGGGAGAACATAAACTCATCCCGTAGGATAAAACCTCTTCATCCGCTGTTGGAGGAGTGCTCCTTCGGGTATTTGATATACGCCAATGGAATGATTGAATTTTGATCATGTATTCATTTTGAGTTGACTTTTAGGGGTCCTACTCAGCGTTGCTAAATTTTATTTATTTTTTATTTTCAGAGCAGCATCCCTTTAGTACTAAATAAGATTTCAATGGAGAGCAGACCTTCCTCTACCGTTAGGGAGAGCCACTCGGATGATTCTTGAAGTTAACATCACTATGTTTAATTTTCTACTTGTGATTTGACGAATAAAATGTAATAAATATTTATAAATGATGAATAAAGTGATGTTTATCTACTTGACTCTAAAAGTGTGGAAAGATATTAAAAAAGAAAATCCAAGATGTGACATTCATAACCAGCTCTGGCAAAAGGACCAAGCTCCTAGATGCGGATGGGCATTAATAAGAACCATAAACAAATTTTCTCCAAATTTCAGATAATAAAACTTATAGGCAATAAAGATGAAGTCCATCAAAATGTAGCATTCAGAAGGGAAAAAGAAACAACTTTGTTACTATTTCTCAGTTGTCCTAATATGATAAATTAAAATAGTAATTGTTATCAAATTTGATAAAAAGTGGAATCTTGTCCTAGCAATCAAGTCGGAAGTAACATAAATTTGCAATAACAAAACAATACATAACAGAAAATATTGGAAAACAAGATTCGTAAACAAACAGAAGAGCTTGAATGACAAGAAACATTAAACAGTGAAATATGAATAGGTCCAAGATTGGGGAGCTGTTCCATAGATGATAGCAGACACCACATGGATTTGAGGGGAAGCAGTGAAATATTGGTAGGTCTGAGATTCGGGACCTGTTCCATAAATGGATAGCAAACACCACACAGATTTTGAGGATGACCAAATTGAACCCAAACTTCAAATGATCCTCTAGAAGGTATTGAAAGAATGCAAGTAGATTCACAATGACTGAAAGTTAACTCAATTTTTTAAAAAAAATCAGGTTTCATCTCTTGGTATAAAGACAAAGTATTTAAAATTGGACATCAAGGAGATCAAATATTAATAGCTATGATTACACACCTTCGTAGAAATAACAGTTCTAGCTAGCTTTAGATTCTCAAAACACAATGCAGTTATCAAAGTTAACAAAACAACAACAACAGAGCATTACAACTTATATGTAACCCCTTTACTGAGCCTCAGAGGCATGAACAAAAATAAATTACCAGGCATATGGTGGATTCCATTTTGAATTGGAGTCAGTGGAACCTTAGGCTGGACAGGATACTTCATAAGATGGTACTGGTGCTCCAGCAAGTGATTGAACAAAATGATCTGTTTCTTCAGCTTCAGCCTTATATAATAAGCTCTGAAAAATTCTGAGTTTTCTTCTTCCAGTTTCTGCCATACTATAAAAAAAGGTATGCTGGATTGAATAAGTGTGCAATATGCTGTCAAGTTCGAGAAATACCATGAACTGTTTAAATCTTCAAGAATTCATTGTGTGTATAACGATTCTCTGGCGAGATATGATGTTGGCATTTATTATTGAGTTTATTTTGCAACGGGAAGGTAGCAGGTATATTAACACTGGCAAAGTCACTGCAATTACTTATGTTATAAAAAATATGATATATGTGCATCAAATGCCCAAGGATAAAAGGAGGATGGCAAACAAAAAAAGGAGCTAGTGTCCTAGAAATGCTTCTGATATGTACAACTATCTGATTTTTGATAACCACAAAATATATTACTGCATATGTTTTTGAAAGACATGTGAGGGGGAAAAGAAATAGATTGCATGTACCGGTGGATATTTGCTTCTAGATATTGAAATTTGGAAACATAGACTACCCACCTAGTGTTGTGAAACCAGGTTCTATCCTAGCACGGCTGGACAGAGTCCGAACTACCTCCCCTCTATTCATATACAGCTGTAGACATCGTTCTATCAAGTTTTGCACCTGCAACACTATTTACAGTGAGAAGGAGATATTGAACAAGCAACCATAAAATAGACACAGTCTGCATTCATGCTATCCTTGACAAAATTTCCTCAATTAGAAGCAAATAGTAGTAGTAAATGAAACCAGAAATTGGGAGCCTTACAAGTTCAATGTCTTCACGAGAAACCTTTCTACTATTACTGCTTGCAACTGATGCTGAACCTGATTCTGCTTTAGGAGCTTCAACAACTGGGGAATTTTGATGGTCACCTTGTAAATCATGTGAAGCTTCTGATGATGGTTGTACTTCAGGTGTACCCTGAGGTTCCTATAGAAAATTTCCTTAAGAATACGCGTGAAGTTCAAATTATGTAATAGAGAACATGTGTATTCCATCACATATAATGAATATAAGCAATCAACCAGAATTCTTCTACAATATAACATATATCTTGAATATATGTAAAGTTCAAATTATGCAATGGAGACCATGTGTGTTCCATCACATATACTGAATATATACAATTAACCAGAATTCTTCTACACTATAACATAAATTTCGAAGGTTTAAATATTGTATGTGGAACAAGCACCAACTTTGAGTAAACATCATTAACCAACCTTGTTCCCAGAGTTGTCATGCAGTATTGCATTACTTTATTGCAGCAAAATAACAAGTGGGACTCCTACTTAGTAATTAAACTTGCTATTTTATGAAGTCAATGATTTTGGTAATCAAGGCCACAAGAGCCATAATTTTTTCACAGACAGTCAGATATAATTTATGCAAAAAAATAAGATAATTTTCACCTGTGAGGTCTTCATTTCAGTTCAGCATATTAATTTAGCCAAGCTCATCTGATTCATCAAGGCAGGCATGGTGAACAGTCTGCCAGTTAGGAGATTTTTCAGGATTCAACTTGCTTCATGGTCATCTCGCCAGCAGCCAGCTCCTGCAATGCAATATGTAGATACTGCTTATATGGGTCAAACAGGTTCAGAAAGAGAGCTTTCAGAGCACTGTCTTGCTACAATCCATTACTCAACATCATTTTTATGCATGGTAAACTTATTTAAGGCATCATGATTTGGTAACATAAGAATTATCAAACAGCACCTTCTGTGCAATTTTGAACATTGTGGATAGCAACAGTGCATATGATTGAAATTTAAATTAGAGTAGTGAATAATAAGTCAAATGGAATACACCAAGATGTCTCTGCCAGCAAAAGATTTCAAGGAAACCCAAACCACAGGAGCCTTAAAATTTCTACAAATGTGATGCTATGCTATATACTTTATGCAGAATATGTGGCATAAATTTCTCTGGCCAGTGCTTTAAATAATAAACCAACGCTCTAAATCATAGGACTGCTATGACTCAGATTCTTAATAAATGCAAAGAAAAAGAGCAACATAATTGTTGTTGCAGGAATTCTCAGACAGTATTAAAGAGCATTTGTACTGACAGACATCCCATCACATACTTTTTCATATGCAAGCTCACAGACTAAAAGGTTTTTTAAAAGAATCGGTTCAGACGAAATCTTGGCCCTATTGGACCAACACAACAAGATTTTGAAATTGGGACTATGTCATTTGTGAAATTGTAACATTGAAATTGGGCCAAATTAGACCTTTGAGCCGGTTTGATTAATCGGTTTAAACTGAGTAAGGGTCTAAGGCAATAAATGCAGTTGGGCTGGTACTTTTTAAATTAAAATCAGTTCTGTCTGAACCAATTAACTAAACCAAAGAAGAGCATTCCGAACCGAAACCATTTATAGCCTTCAAAACAAAACTATCAGTGAACCGGTTTGGATCGGTTTGAACACCCCTATTTTTCAGTTTCAATAGTTACACAATAAAAATCACCAAAGACCCAAAATCTGACCAAAGAGTAAAAGGAAACAGTAACTATTGAAAAAACTTATAATGCTTAAAAGTTAAAAGGCAAGCCTGGAAGGAAAGTAATTTACATGCAGTTTAATGAATCAAATTCTGATGTTTGTAAAATAATGTGAATCCTAAGAGTGCACGCTATCAAATAAAAAATAGAAAGCGAAAATGAGAGCAACCTGATATGTAAGCATTAAGAGCCATCAAAGATGAAGTGGCCATCATATGTCTATATGTTACAAAATTGAGCCATGTAAAATTTTTATCAAAGCTGCATTCTCAAATTTGCCCAGAAATCACATTCTTTGGCATAATCTATTACTTTGTTAAAAATCATGTTTATAACAGATCTGTTTATGATTTCAGCTTGAATAAGATTTCTCTGCAATAAACAAATTATATGGCTCATAACATGCACATATAAAATCATCATATTGTCTAAAAGTCAATCCATGTATTCGGTTAGGACCACAATAACCCCAGACTTCATAAATATATAGATAACTAGAAACAAACATCTAGTTTTGATCAGCTTAATTTGACCATAATATATCCAGTTAGTGAAAAATGCTTGGACAAAGAAGAGGACATGTATACTAAGAAATCAAGCAAGTTCAAGGTTGTTACATGGGGTTTATACATACAAAGTTGAAGCTGCTAAAAACTTCACTAAATATAACTTGCGACATACAAACAGACTCATCCACAGATGCACAGGCCATATACGTAGGCACCAGAGGGCTAGCAAGAAATCACGAAAGTAAAACATCCATGTCACAACGATACTTTCAAAAATTAGCTATGGGTTTCTAGTAAAAGGAAGGATTATATTAAGCAACATATTAGGTGACACTCCCACTGCCTGAAAACAAGAAAGACCAAACAAATTCTTAAATATCCCACTCCCACTGCTGCAAGCAAATAAAGAAAAGAAAAGAAAAGGATATCAAAGAATTTAATCTGAAAGGTAGCATTTTTTTTTCTGGCATCCAATACTAAAATTAAATTAACCCGCCTTCTCCGGAATAAACTTTATAAACAAAAATAAGAACAATTATGTTAAAATATCAGAGAGGAGTACAAAAACTGATCTTTCTCATAAAGGACTACCCTGGGAAAACTGCAAATCTACGAGTTGATGGTGCCGACATATAGATTATAGATATATTTTACAGGATGTACCTCTCGATAATATGTGGCTGGCAACCAGGTTGCTAGGAATATCTTGATATCCCCGGGAAGTCATTCCCTTGAGGAAAACCAAGCACTTAAGGTAACAACTTGAACAAATCTACTGAAAATGGTTGATTTCCCATTTAAGAAGATAAAAATGTCAAAGATATGATCAGATACTCTAATATTGTCCTCCTCAAGATGTAGTAGAACTTAAGGCTAACCAACACTTCCACAATCTGCAAGCAGATGAATCTTCCATGGCTCTATGAAGACGTAAAGATCAACCAGGTTAAAAAGAAAGCACCAATAGGCGATAACGTCAAGAACTTCCCAATCCAGCAAAAACAACATGGCAGTAAGCAGTAAAAAGAGAGAAAAAAAAAAAGATCCAAAAACGAACAAAGAACATCGGCCGCAGTAAGCAGGACATCGCACATTGACATTGAGATGGTTTTTGGCGATTTCTACCCCCAAAGGAAATCGAAAAAGCGCAAAAAATCGTCTCTCTTGCGATGCGCAGCCAAACAACAGATATCGATGCAAGCTCACCGTCAAGCAAATAGCACACGAGCAGACGGAAAGCCGAGACTTAGGGTTCCCAATACGATTCTCTATCTCCGACCGCAGAGCAAGAGTAAGACAGAGACAGGCGAGAGAGAACGAGTCGATGACCGGAGAGAGCGAGAGAGAGAGAGAGAGAAGACTGCGGAGATATCAATGACTTCCGAAACGGTAACATCGTCGACATAGTTACGTTGTCAGAGCTGCCGCATATTTTTATCTATGCGGACACATGGACTTTTGCCCTCACGGGCACGGAATCACGGGGAGAACGCTCTGTTGCCGAGCCGACCCACCCTGGAAACTTTTCAGGGGTGACGCCATCTTCGCGTTCGCCGACATTTCTCGGTGATTTCTTATTGGGACATTATTGTGCCGCAATCAGCACGTATCAAGAAGCAAGACTGCAGCTTAAGCATGGCTTCCATGAGGTCAGTAAAAGCTGCTGAGATTTCCGTCGAAGAAGAGTGAGTAGAGAGATAAAGAGTTGGTTCTTTTTGAGACCAAGTGTCGAAACAAAGCAATTAGATCAGCAACCATGTTCACTCTCACCTCACAGAGGCATATCTTGTCTTGCCACTTTGAGTTCGTCTTATAATTGACATCCACTCAAGAAGCCACTTAGAACAGATTGAATTGGGTTTGTGGTGGCAATTATGGAAGAGATGCACGACATCTCCTCCACCATGCCAAAGTCTGGTTGTTGGCCGCACTCTCTCCCTGATGGTGATGCCAAACTCCCTCCTTGCTTCACATCTACTGCTGCCAAAAGAAGGAGTCCTTTCTACTTGATGCTCATCCCCACAGACCCCCACAGAGTACTAAAGAACAAAGAAGATAGGTTGTATGGATTTCCCTGTAGGCCTACTGAGTTAAAGATGAAATGTATTCAGTGCCAACCACTTGGCTCTCTGAAGAGCATGTTTTGTGTTGCTTGCACTCGATGAACCAATTCATCCTTCTTCCATGTAGAATGGACATGAGATATTTTCTTTTGAGGAATGCGTTGACTGGTTATGGGTCAAATGGAATACCTCAGAATTCCCTCAGTGTTTCATCTGCTCCACACAACTGCTCCATGTTCTATATGGACACTGAAGTGAGTCTCATGGACAGCTGCTGAAAGCAGAGAGAAGGTCATAGTGAATCCACTTCTGTTTTCACATTAGATTTTGAACCTAACTTCTGGATCACATGATCAAGAATAAAAGAAATCATGAAGAAGCTGGACCAGAAATGTATATGATCTGGAAGGACTGGGCAAACAACAATTCTAACTCTGACAGCAGAAGCAGACAAAGAGCTAAGCCTATGCACTGTTCAGGGCATAATTCAGGATAATAATTTCAGCTCTCTTGTTTCTTATACACACCAAGGGATCCTTTGAATTGTTGCACTTTGTGACAAATCCAACAGAAGTGGACAATGATAGGATGTGACAAAGTCAAAAATAATATGCATCCCATTAGGATGGGAAGAACCTACAGAGGTCTGAAGTTAAAGAGTAGTACTGAGCATTCATGTCTGTGTCTGCTGGTTGAAATGAATTCTCATCATTTGCAGCTTACTCCTCCTCGGGCTGTTCTCACCAGATGATGTAAGCTTGCTCTTCCCTTCTTCAATTAAGATAACAGCAAGGATTTCCTATCTGAAAAGTCCATCTGCCCTTGCAGGAGAATTTTGCATGTCCGATGAACAGTCTGTGATAAAGAAGATTTAGGATGAGGAGAAAGAAACGAGTGCAGGTTTATGATTTCAGATACATCCACCCAGTAGATGATAAATCTGGATACATTAACCGGGTGTTGGACTGTAGAGAAGAAGATAACGAGTCTCTATCCTGTCTGCAGATGCTGCCTAATTTGCACATGGAGAGAGCTTTCTGGTCTTGTGGAAGATAAGCTCATGGAGGAACTGGACAATGACACTCACCCAAGAAACATGGCAGGTCCAAGATTCTAAACCACCAAAAAGAAAACACCTATTCCATTTCCCCTCATCTGATGTATGCAACGATTCATGATGATATGTCCTGTTCTTGGATCATCCTACAGGATATAGTATACAGACAATGCATTCATCAAACAAGTGTTCCTTTTCCCCATATACTTCTCAGAATTTAAGTTGAAACTGTGTAAAGAATCGTTTGTTTCTTTTTCCTGAAAGCAAATCCTTGATCCAACTTCTGAATTTACAGTCCATGTCATTAGATCTCAGAAAGCTGTAGTCATTCCGAACAAACAGAGTGGCAGACATGCACCAATTTTCTTGTGCCTCCATAGATCCAGGAACATTTCTTCTCTCTGATGCCACTCCATCATTCTTCTCCTTTTGGTTCTCGCTGCCATAGGATGGATGCTACTTGACGAAAAAACTTGTTTTCTTTCTCATCAAGTTTTGGCGGAGCGGCTGGGCTGAGCATGGATTTGCACAGGGTTCAGTGGTGAAGGAGATGATGCACTAATTATGGCTATGACTGATTCATGATTCAGCTTTGTTCTTATCATTTTCTTCAACTCTTATGTAATTAGTTTCTCAGCAATTGGAAAGGAAGATTGTTATTAATATCTGAGGTGTTTAGTTTGATCTAATATTTGAGATGTCTGCTCATGGCAGGGATGCATATTCTGCAACAGTCTATTTCCATGTCTCCTGTTGTACATCAAAGACGCTCATCAACCATCACCGCATACAGAGTCTTGAGTACATGAAGGAGAAACACAAGCAATATACTGCTACAAGAGTATTTGACGCCATCAAATATGTTGTCAAGCAAGCTCTTGGTTCTTCTCAACCACCCTCACTTCCTTAGCAGACCTGAGAGTGGCTGCCTGAAGAATAGATTACGACAACCGAAGCATACGTTTCATTAGCGGTGACATAAAACATGATCGAGAAGCACTTTGCAACCCTGAGAGAATACCTGCTCTTTGGTTATCTCCACTGAGAAGCCGTCAACAATGGCTAAGGAAGATTTCTTCTTGTAGGTGTTTGGCTGGAAAAGCTTTTCGAGCAATCGGTCGTGCTTCTTGCTCAGGTAAGTGTCAAGCTCCTCCACGCCTTCCTTTGACCTGCAAGGTTCCACCGTGAGGGAGAAGAAGCACCAAGCAAGAGAACATAGGAAAGATGCTGTGGAACATTACAGCTCGACCCACCGATCTGCATGGAGACGCTCATACTTGGGATCAAAGTTCATAAAGACAAAATACACCTCGGTTTTCTGATCTCCCATTGCCACCACACACTCTCTCTCTCTCTCTCTCTCTCTCTCTCTCTCTCTCACACACACACACACAATCTCTCTCTCTCCATGGTCTATTTATACTAACATGAAGCAGAAGAACTTGCTTGTTGCCATAAGCTTCCCACTTACATCCTTTGATTGAGAATGGACCTTCTTCCTCAACTGCACTTTGGCAACCAAACGCATGCATTGCCCCTGCACTTGTATTATTGTTTATTTGGGTTGCTCTGTAGTCGGAAAAATCTGACACTAAAGAGAGTATAGATTGAAATGGTTAAAATGTTCTCCACTGACCCAAAGTTGAGATGCAAGGGGGATGATCTCCAGGGATGGAGGGCCCAGACCACGTTGGTTGGAAGGAGATCGCCATGACGAACTGCATGGATTCTAGTCTTTGGCATGGTCCCCTTGCGTTCAGATGGTCACATGTAACCCACAGGAAGTGAGAGGTGGAGGTGATGAGGAATGCAAACTCTTTGCAGGTCTCTCTGCATTAAAAACCACTCTCACTTTTCATCACCTATCTTTAGTATAAATAGAGAAGTAAGTAGGATGAATGTTTCCAAAGGAGAAAATAATCTGCTTTCTTCATTCTTTTCTCTTTTTCTTGAATTCCTGATCTAAACTTTCCCTTGTTTATTTTGTTTCTGAGGGAGTTGTCTGCACATAGGAAGAGAGAGTACGTCCCGAAGCTTGTGATATGAGACAATGAAGTGGTTTCTTCCTCACATGTAAGTGATAGTTTGATGGTTGCAATCACTTTATTGGTGACTTTACATCATAATAGTTACATGAACAGTCATCTTTCCCAGAAGGCACTGTAAATGGTCTAGAAATGGATAGGGCGGCTGCATGCACCAAATGATCACCTGTAGGTCATGGCTATCTACATCACGAAAGCTGTGAGGACGAGCCATCCAATCCTTCTCCTAGCCTCATATGATGTACCATCAGTTCATCCTCGTAATGATTTAGCTGCTACCTTGAATGCCTATTGCTAGAAGGTGATCCACACAAAGGAAAAGCTTAGACCGAATTCCTTTTATCACGGCTTGGCATGAAAACACTGATCGAAACTATATCATAGATTCTCTGCATGCATTGCTTATCAAGATTACTTCTTGTGATATAAACAGCTCTCACAAAGGGATATTGGTGTCAAGTTTCATCACCGAAATATATATTTTGTCCGTGAGAGAAGAAACTTGTCACGAGTTAAACTCCTCAAACACACGGACACACACAATGCCATAGAGTGTCAGGTCAACACACTCCACCATGCTCACAAGGAAGGAAGAAAACAAGGCATGGTAGAAGAAAGCAATGATAAGCTCCATGATTGTTCCAGCCACAAGCCAGAATGAGTGCTCCACCACCTAACGCTGCCAGAACAAATCATTGTCCTCGTGAATCTAAGCTTGTGGGATCGACAGTTCGGCCTTCTTGGCTTATACTGCGTCATATATTTCAGCCTCTGCTCAATGAATAGGAACACAAGCCAGTTGTGTTGCATCTGTACATGCGAGATATACTCCCAAGTGTAGAACTCAAGTTTCAATCTTTTCTTTTAGGTTCTGTTGTTTGATGTATAAACATAAACTTGGTTCAACCAATGGTACATTGTTTGTATTAGGCCCTCGAATCGAAAAATCTAGGCCCATCTCCATCCTGTGATCTTGGCCACCTACCAGTAGCCATCGTTCTTGATGTGATGCGGCTCCATAATTAGTGAGGCATTCGTACCCTTGATCTTTCGTTTCCTCTACTGTTTCTTCTACGTCAAACTCTTTGATTTAAGAACCAGAGGGGAGAGCATGGGAGATTCTATTTGACCGCTTCCAACTCCATTTCGATGATAATTCCACATGATGAATTCTAAGTTTGACTCGATCAACCCTGACGCAAGACCAACAGTTGTGAAGGATAGTCATTAGACCATCGTTGACTGACATCGAACTTTGCAAACATTAAAAGAATCATGCCAAAATTAATTAATCCTGTTGGAAATAGTGGAACCCCTTGTATTTGATCTCAGCTAATTGAATGGCCGACATGTTCGAAATAGCTTCGCTTTATCTCTCTAGATGCGAAAGTGACTCGGGTCATGTACCTGCAAACAAACACCTGTGCCAACCATGGGCACTGCAAGAGAGCGTTGAATCGGTCTTATGGAATTTGCTGTCTCCCTTGTCGTCCTGATGCCTTGAAGCTGCAAGGTTTGAATTCAAATGCTTGATTGGGTAGTGATTGCTTCCAATTTTCCTGTTCGATCCAATGACGAAACACCTCGATTTGTACCTTCTGTCGACGCGCAGCAGCATGAGATTAAACAAACGCGTTAGTTGATGGCTTCTAAGTTGTGGTGCCATCTGTGTCCCCCGCTCAATGGCGGATCCTCCTCCTCGTCTTCCTTATCTGCTACAGGCGCTTGTGGTTGAAGCTGAATCGAGAAGGGAATGCTCACATAGTACCATGAATTCAGCATGACATCATAAATCTATCTAATTTAATTATGTAAAACATACATAAACATTCAACTGTTACATTTAAATTCCTCGTTATGTGGCAACAAAATAAGTAAATAAATAAATAAATATATATATATATATAATATTATTTATGTCGCAACAAAACCCCACTGCTTAAATTCCAAAGAACAATATAAAAAGAGGCTTACCTATTTCACGTGTGGGCTCCCCGCTGTGGTGTCACGAAACCGTCTTATTTGTGTTGACCGAGCCACCAACCACGGATGAAGCAGTTTCCATTGGCCAACCGATGCGGGTCCCGTTGTTAGAACTGGCATTTGCGCTATCAACAAATGAGAAGACGTCCTTCGCTGGTTGGACGCTCCGCTCCAACGCAAGAGCCCTAGTCCACCAACCGGAAGCACATAGAACTACCGCCACTGAAGACGTCTCCCCCACTCGCTGCCTAACGCGGAAGGGAAGCAGACGTCCAGATTCTCCGTCACTTCAACTTCTCTTCTCCGGTTGACATTCCCAACCTAGCCTCTCTTTACCGGACAATTCAAGCTTTGAATGGGTCAGCACAAATCGGTCTCCCTTCTGACCGAAGACCGAAGAAGAGAAGATGATGGCGACTGATCTAGGCGTTCTCGGTCAAACGTGTGAGCCCCCCCTGCATCGTACGAACACAATCCACAGATGGAACTCCATGACCCAGCCTTCCCCTCCTCCAGTTTAAATACCACTCCCCCTTTGTTTATTTCTCCTCGCATCTTTCTCTACACAAGAGAGCAGCAAAAGTGAAACAAAAAGATATAGATAGATAGATAGATCGAGAGAGAAAGAGGGAGACATCAACCAGCTTCCTACCTCTTTGCCTTCAGAAGTAGATTATGACCTATCACGGTGGAAGTGTGTACTGTAGCTCCCAGTGTTAGTTTCTGCTGGGTGTCAGCTGCATTAGCTTTGTAATAATTGTTGCGTTTATCTGCTTCCTGGATTCCGAAGAACCGCGTTTTCCATTGTAATCTGAGCAAAATTCTAGTGCTTGAAGAGTTACTCAGCTAGTTCTCAAGCTAAGCAATGGAGAGCACTGGTGCGTGGGATCTCAGTTCGCTGCTGAGGCTGCTAGCGCAGGGAGAGGAGCAGGCGAGGCAGCTGGAAGCGCATCTGGAAGCTCCTTCCCTTGCTGAGCATTGCAAATCGTTGCTGCAACGGGTGAGATCCACTTTGGAGGAAGCCATTTCCATGGCTAAGCTAGTGGACTACGAGATGTCACGGCAGCCAGCATGCCACAACGCAATAGCAGAAGCGGCAGCCGCGGCGGCATCTGACTCGCCTCGGTCCAACAGCGGGAGCCCGAGGAGTGAGAGCTCGGAGAGGGTCTTCAAGGAACACGAGCGCATGGAGATGTGCAAGAAGAGGTACACACCGGTGAATTGCAGATAAACAGAGCACATAAAGAGCTCTTCTCACCTGACATCACTTTCTAATATCTTTGGATTGCAGGAAAACTCTACCCAAATGGACGAACCAAGTTCGTGTTTCCAGCGGCGGAGTGACCGAAGGATTAGAGGATGGCTATAGCTGGAGGAAGTACGGGCAGAAGGAGATCCTCGGAGCCAGGCATCCAAGGTTAGAAATCTCCTCTGTTTCTTCCCCTGTTCTTTTCGTCTCTTCCAAGCTCGATAATGGCGGATTCTTTCTGCTCGCAATCACCAAAAGCCCGCCTAAATCTTCGGGCACTCACGATTGGCACACTCTCGCAGAGGCTACTACCGATGCAGCCACCGCAACAGCGTCGGATGTCTTGCGACGAAACAAGTGCAGAGATCAGATCAGGACCCCTGCGTCTTCGACATCACCTACCGAGGAGAGCACACTTGTCTACAGAGGCCGCAACCGTCTCCGCTTCCAGAACCAGAGTTGCGGCAAAGCCATGAAAACCCTCCTACGATCCATGAAGCACTACTGCATCATCCTCGCCAGCATCTGCAGTCAAGTCTCAGGGTGGAAACCGAAGGGTTGAACATGCACGATCAAGTCCTGAGTTCGTCCTTCTCCTTCCCTTCGACTCCACTCGACAGTTTCGGACCTCAAAGCCGTGTCTTCTCATCCACTAATCCCCTGGAGAACACCTACGTGGGCAGCTTCTCTCCCTTCATCTCACCAACTACCTCGGAGTCCAATTACTTCTCAGTCTCTCCATGCCAAATGAGCGGCTATGGAGGTGGAATAGCCCCCAACACCTCAGAATCTGACCTCACCGAGATCATTTCTGCTGCGACGTCCACGACCAATTCCCCCAAGTTGGATGCAGCTTTCATGCTCGACCACGCCGAGTTCGATCAAATCTTCCCTTTCGATGCTCCAAAGTTCTTCTGATGCATCTTAGAAACAGAATCCATTACTATCAGTAAGTGTCAAGATAAGCCTGTTGTTCAACCAAGTTTTGCAGGCCTTCTGCACCAAACAAAAGCTAGAGTGAGCGAATTATGTTGTTGCATTCATTTAGGACTAATGTGATCGAGATTGATACAGTAGTTTGCTTCTTCTCTTTAAGCTTTATGCTCTCTACGTGTACATGCCTTGTTCTTAATGAACAAAAGATTGCCTTCAAGCTTTCGGTACATATTGGAATTCAGCTCTGGTTGCAGTATCATCCAGAAACACTCGGTGATAACCAAGAGAACCATTAGAAAGTTTGGCCATGTCGGTGCTTGCGGCGAGGACCGGCGCGTTGACAACGAGGCAGGCAATAGTGGGATGTGGGTTGACGTCCCAACTCTTAAACAGTGCAAGTATCCGATGGTTGACTTCGAGGTGCAATTAAACAATGGTTGACCTCGATATCAACATAAGCAACCTTTTGAGTGCAATCAAAAGCATCAAACTGAGGGAACGAAAGAATTCTCAAAAAGTCAGATTGATGTTCCTACTGATCTACACACACAGGAAATATGAATTGGTGTTCCTACTTAACAAGGAAGAGATTACAGCACAAAAAGATGTAATGTGCATTTAATTAGAAGCTTGATTCAAGAAAATTTCCCGTAGAAGCTAACATTGTCATCAAGAACTGGATCAGTCATGGCCGCCACATAAGACACAACTGCTACGATGAACAGAGTACTCCTTGGCGGCGATGGTCCTGCCGGTAAACCGCTCCGACATGGTCTTCCGGCCGCATTCCGGCGATCCCAGATCCCTCCCCCACGCCTCTGAGATCGAAGCAAGACAGCCCGAACTGGAATTTCCACCATGTTCTTTGAGCGGTTTTGATCGCAGCACCAACCACGCCATGTTCTTGAACCATCTCGCGACTCGTGAGCGCTTCCTCCGCGCTTGGCCCAGCGGCGCCGAAAGAGGAGGAGGAGGAGGAGGAGGCACGGCGGAGTGCGGCATGGAGAAGCACCGAGCGGCGCCAGCGGAGTCGAGTTGCCTCATCAACGACTCAAGCTCGAAGGAGTCGTAGAGAGAGCTGCCGCAGTCCCACACGAGCCTGTTGGCCGATGCACCGGCTGGAGCCTTCTCCATGAAAGCGGAAGGAAACAGGAAAAAGGATGAGGAGGAGAGAAGCAAGCAAAGGCGATCACCAAAGCTGTAATGTAGCGTTAAGTACACATATACGCATGATGTGGTTAATTACGGAGGAGCCGCTAATCTTAATTAAATGAGCTCATAATTTAGAAGGAAAGCTTGAAATCTACCTAGAAATGAAGCAAATCAAGCTCAAATGGAGTTGATCAAGGGATTAAATGACTTTTATCATTTCTCTAAACTACACATAGTTACTATCTTCTTCGTAGGTTAATTATAGAAATCCTCCATAAACACATGGAAATAATCTAGACGCACTACCTTATTTAACTTTGTGTGTGTATATATATATATATATATATATATATATATATATATATATATATATATGCTTTCCTAGTATTATTGAAAACAAAATTATAATAACATGTTTTTTATTATTGTTAAAAATACTATAACATAATATAAAAATATAAAAAAAAACATAATACTTTTACTCACTTTGTACAGAAATATTATATTATAATATTTTTATATGTATTCTGATATTACTGAAAGTACTATAATAATATTAAAAAAATATGATAATGAAACTGATTCAATCCATAGAAAAAATATATATTATAGATGTAAAAACAAAAATGAAGGGCGCTTTCTTGAAGCAGAGAGTTTTGATCTTATTAGCAACAACCTGAGAATTAGTAACAACAATGGGTGCACAAAATGATGTTTCTGCAGGCAAACTACTTCGATCTCAATGTATCATACAGCTGAAGCATTATAACACAAAATACAATACAAAATGAAAAAAGAGATACAGAGAGTGAAAAGCACTAAAGAAACACATTAGTTATCTATATGAGTCTCAAGATGATGATGTCCCCATCAGATGATCTGTTGTCGTCAGTATGATCATCACAGCCGAACACGCATGCCGAATCCATGCTTCACCTTCTCAACCCTGTCAAAAACTTCAGAATTAGCAAGAACAAATGCAAGATTGAGCAACAGTAGGACTTCTATGGAGCATCAAAGCCAAACATCACATGCATTCGAAAAATTGTAGTTGGGAGTCAGCTAGGTAATTAATCAGACCTTTGGATGATTACAAGCACAGCATAAATGTATAAAGGAATTAGTTGCTAGATGATCATTTTAAGTGAAGGAACTATGCAGTAATCTATGGCGCACAAGGTGATGAAACTTCATGGAATCAAGAGAGGTTTGCATGCAGGAGCTCACGTTGGTGCCAGTTTGCCAAGACCATCTAGCTCTTCACCAGATGATTCATCCCAAACTTTCCCAGAAATCTCAATTATATAGGAACAACCTCTGGTCGCTGGAAGTCCTCGACCGACAAGCAAATCCAAATCCTTCTGATGAAGCTCTCTCCCATTCACAAGAACACCGGTATTTCCCCCGGCACAGTTCTTGGGCATAGGATAGTTGAATTCTTTAATAAACGGCTGCAAAAATGATATGTTATTATATTGTCTTGACCTGTTGATTGTAGTGATCAAAGAATTCTGCATCCTATAGTTGTACTTACAGAAATTATCCCAAGGCAGGGATGCCCCATCACACCCCAAAATCCGGCACGGTAGTCATACCTGAACGAGGAAGCAAAGCCACCATCAAGAAACAAGATAGGATCTTAGCACTCGGTATATATGATCTACGATATGCACAGATAAACAGCTTATGTGAATTTGAGTCAGGCAATTGGATAGCAATCTAGTCAATATACCCTACCAGAAAAGGCAGTTCTAATTGTCCAGAATAGACATCTATGCACCGAAGCCTGGGCCAGCATTATAGATATGGCAGCAGCATAATTGCCGGTTGCCAACCCAATGATTGCACACAGTTGACATGGTCAACATGTGAAAGAAAGGCCATGAAATCCAATGCATATGACCAAACTCCGAAGACACCAGAAACAAACAAAGAACAGAAGCATAACTTATATGTGGAGAAAAGTTAAATAACTCCTACCTAAAATTATTTTGCTCACATAGTGTAACCACCAGCTCAATGCGGAGCAAGGAGCTAAACTCCTCGATGCCACAATTTAAAAGCTATGATTTCCTGGGAAACATTTACTGAGTTGTGGGTTATAAACCTACGTTTAACAATCATTAAGATGATAACTTAGTTTGGATGTTATGTGGAAAGCATGCATATACAAGAAGTTCAGAAAAAGCAACTTGTTTCTGACAAGAGTCTCACCAATAATGGCCAGGATAGATTGGACCGGCTTGCTTTTCAGCCTTCTTAATCAATCGATCGGGAATGGGGTGGCCATTAATTGAAACTTTAAATCTACTATGACCTAGTGATTGATTAAGAGGCCGAAAGCTCTTCTTTATTAGGCCAGCAAAGAATGAATCACCAGCCTTGATGATCCTAGGTTCAGTCTCATCTTTGCTTATCATGTCCCACGAGTCTCGAGATAAACCAGAAGGTGGATCCTCCTCATCTGACAAGTCCATCTCAGTAGCCACTCGTACATCTTTTGTTGAGTTCTGCTTGAAGTTACCATTTAATGATGTACTTCTCGCCTGATCAGAATGGTTACTCTCACTTCCACTTTCAGATCCATCAGCTGCACGATCAGACAGTAAGTAGCCAAAATGTTCACGAAGTGGCAAACTTGGAACTCCTGATATCGCCTGAGCATCTGAGGGCATCCCGGGCAAGCTAGGATCATCTTTCTGCAAAATCACACTTTCTGGGCTCTCAACATATCCAGACGTACCAGGAGACAAAGATGACCCATACTCTTTCTCTGATTCCCTCGAGTGTAAATCATGTCCTTTTTCTTTCATCTCGTGATCATTGCTTGTGAAAATGTAAGGCAACACTAGTTTCTCATCGGTAGACTGGATACCATTGATTGTGCTATTATGAGAGGAGTTATTGTTCTCGGAAGACACACGTGAGACTGGTGTTGGGGCAGAAATAACAATCTTACTTCCATCGTACTGGATCGCAACTAACTTAAAGCAAGATCCACACTGCAGATTAATGTTATTCTTCTTCAGAAGCAAAGACTTTTCAGGTAGCTGCAGAAGCTCGAAACAACTCGAACAAATAGTAAATGGGGCAGCACCATCAATGGGTCGACAGGAACGTGCATTATTCTTGCTGAATTTGGTTCTACTGTGTGATCTTGGCTCAAGTCTGTGCAATGGAGCATTGTCAACCCTTATATTAGAGTTTCTGGAACCAATAATTGAGGGACCATCAACTCTGCAGAACTCATAATTATTGACGGGATACAGAATCCTCTGATGGCCAATAGTTGTGGATGGGGCTCTTGCAGGAAGCAAGAACGGTCTCTGGTAGCATTGCATACATGAGCAGGCAGGTTGATGATAGAAACCATCATGATGGTAAGACATAACAGGATCAAGAGCAAACTGTCCATAAAGGAAACCATCGACCTGTCTCGGTGGATATTCATGGGGTCGGTGAAAGGGAACTCTTCTTTGAGCAAATGGATCACCATAACCAGGTATGCCACCCTCAGCCGGTACATTAGAATATAAATTTACCATGGCAGCATTATGATCATGCAGTGTTGGGAAATACTGAGATGAATTCGGGTCTGACGATGATGAGGTTTCAGGAAACCATTTAACATGATCATGATGGACATAGGAACTCTTCGGCTTGTCTGAGGCCTTACAAGTTCGCTGCACTTGATCTCTCAACTCATCAAGCATTCTCAGAAGCCTTGTTCGGTCTTGTTCAAGGTAGCCTACTCTGCTAGCACCATCCATGTTCTGCCGACTTTCGCCCTCGACATTACCATTGATATAACTTGGATACCGATGACAGTCGGATGGGCCTTCATCATGCAGTGGAGCAGGCCAACCGTCTCCCACGGGAGCTCTCGGTGTTCGGACTTGTCTTCGCTGAGGCTCACGAGACTCATCTACCTGTTGTTTCATTTCTCTTCCACTCTCCATGCCTGTTTTACCCAATTCAGACACATCGTGGGTGTGCTTACTAATGAGAGTTTCCCAATGGCATTGATGCTTGGTATCGTCACTTCCATTTTCTTTGGGAAGATCATCTATCTTCATCAGGTCACTATCTTTACATCCGGTCATAGAAACACCATGGGAACCCGCTGATCCATGTGATAGTGACTCCACCGTCCGATCATCTCCACTGCCCTCATAATGGATCTCTGCACTTGAATCTGAAACCATCGGTTTCTTCTCCGTGCAATGCTGCTCCAAGACCTCGAGATATTTCATGTTTTCTTCATTAGATTTCTCCGGTGAAGCTCCCGAACCTGGAACAGGTTTCTTGGCTGTATGATTCCCAAAGAACCAAACGATTGTTACCGTATAACCCTACCCCAAATGACTATCCTAATGTTTAGCAAGAACAAAACAGATAAAGATAAAAACTTCGTCAGCAAGAATTCACAGACGAATGAAGCTTGGGGCTCACCTTGGAGAGTAGCGCCGCAGCCACCGCAGCGGTAGACTGCGAAATTGGCGAGCTCCGGGAGAAGCTTGTCGCACTTGGGGCACCGCACCACTCGAACCTTCGATCCAAGTCCCTCCTCCGCCATCAGTCTCGCATGGAATGAATCCTTCAAAAACCCTCTCAAGCTCCGATCCTTCGCCACCACCTCAAATCCTCCGACCAAAATCCCTCCTTTATAGCACCAAACGAGACAATGGACCAAAATGGAGTCACATTGGCGATGCCCAGAAAAATGGCACCTCAGAGAAAGAAGGTCGACCCCATTTCCTCGAACTTCTCCACGAAACAGAGATCAAAATCGCTCCTTTCTCGGAACCTGGGAAAGCATTCCGGTCATTCTTCCTCCCCACTTTATTCCGTCGCGCTTCCGCCTTGTGAGAGAGAGAGAAAAGAAGGATTCGAAAGCCAAAGGAGGAAGAGGAGAAAGGTGAGGTTTTGGCATGAGTAATCATGAGACGGCGAGAGCGGGAGAGAGACGAAGGGCGATCACCCTTCCCTAATCGAATCCGCTACCGCGCTGCTGAACTCGGCGATTTAATGAACTCCGGAGGCTCTGACCAACTAGAATCATTGGGATCAAAAAGCTGGATATCGTCTCCGAGTAATGGCTCACCTGGGTGCGCATCCATCCGACACGGACACAGGTCGAGACGACTCTCCATAGCTGTGTTTTCTCACCATCGTCAACCTCGTTGCTTCCACATGGCCCCCATGCACGGACTGCTACCACATAGGCAGAACACAGCTTGCCTTCGAGGACGACAGTCTGACCGCAAGTCTTCTCAGTCCAAGACAGCCTGAGTCGTTCTTTGATCTGCGACGTTTGTCTGCTTGCAGAAGCTCATCACATCTCTCCCCACATCCAGCTCATGGATCAACGATCTTGTTAATGTCTCCGTCGTTGCAAGAGAACTGTTTACCCTTGTCCCACTGGGAAAGACGGCAAGCGCAGCTTTAGGTGTGTCAGAGACAGCAAGGGGGCCCGTGGCAGCTGCGACTGATGGGTGTAATGGCGGAGTTATACCTGATCGAAAGGAAGGGCTTTTATGGGATTTGGGAGGTTGGGCGGCACTTCACGCACGCCGAGGTAGCTGAGGAATCCGAAGTGGCGCAAAGCGGGGTGTCGTCCGGCGGGAGCTCGGACAAGCTTGCGCTTTGCGCAACCTTGTCTGCTGCGCACAAAGGGTCACCACGGAGCTTCTGCTGTGGGCCCAGCGTGAACCGGCCCATGAAGACCAGAACATTCACCCATGTGGCTCAAATTACCCGGCCCAGTTGAACCACCACGTCATGAACCAACTTGATTCGATCTCGACCGTCCACGCCCTCTCATTTCGCTCCACTCCATTTCTTCATGCTATAAAAAGAGAACACAACGGCTAGGGTTAAAGCACCTCTCACCTTTCTCGGCTTGTTTTAGGGTTTTCGCTTCATCTCTCTTCGGCGATCTTGTTTGGGACAAGAAAGGCAAGATGACGGTGAAGCTGTCGAAGGCGGAGAAGAAGGTGGTGTACGACAAGAAGCTGTGCGGGCTGTTGGATGAGTACAGCAAGGTGCTAATCGCGGTCGCCGACAACGTCGGGTCCAACCAGCTCCAGAACATCCGAAAGGGCCTCCGCGGCGACTCCATCGTCCTCATGGGCAAGAACACCCTCATCCGCCGCTGCATCAGGATCCACGCTGAGAAGACCGGCAACAAGAACTACCTCAACCTCCTCCCCCTGCTTGTCGTGCGTTCTCCCCCCTTTCCATCTTGCAAGCTTTCTCTTTGTGATAGCGTGCTCACGTAATTTTCTTTCATTGGGACAGGCGATGAAAGATTATCTTTTATGCTCAATATCTCTTGATGCTAATCATTCGTAGTTCGTTTTGGTTGTTCCAAGAACTTATTGTGTTCATGCTGTTCAGGGAAATGTGGGACTTATATTTACCAAGGGAGATCTCAAAGAAGTTAGTGAGGAGGTTGCCAAGTACAAGGTATGCTAATGTTATGAGAATCCCTGTTGTTTTTCCAGTCTTGCGCTTCTTGCTCTGAATTCAAATTGGGATTTTTGTAGGTCCGTTGGGACAAGGTTAAGTCATTTTTTTTGCTTAAAGAATTTCAATGCTCAGATCCAATACAATGACACAACTTCATCACTGGAAAAATATTTGGTTCATTACGAGATGCATATATCAGAATTCAAATGAAATAAGATATAAAATGATAAAAACATGCGAGTCTTGTGCTCGTGACTGAGTTGGCCGAAGTTCATTCTATGTAGCGCAGAAAATGATATGAATACCTATGAAATCCAATAGCATGGAGTAGTCTTGAATCCCTGTTTATAGGATTAGAAGAATAGACCCTTTATCTGAGTAAGTTATTCTGATATGCATCCTAACTTACAACTGGCGATCTTTAATAAATATGTCCATTGAGTTGAATTGAACTTGGATTTTGACTTGTTTTAATATGTTGATATTCCTTTTTCGTTTTCTTTATTTAAGATAGTAAGTATAAGAAGGTGATAAAGCATTTCTACCTGTTTTTGCTAGCTAGAAATATTTATATACACATTAGAAATGGTATACTCTTGTATCAACCCCTTCAAACATTACAAGTCAGCAACTTAGTTCACTAATAAATGCTTGGAATACCTTTTTGAGTGGCATATAATTGCAAGTCAGCAACTTAATTCACTATCAAGTACCTTAGACGGAAAATTCTTTGTCATGATATTCATAGGACAATATAATTAGTTTAATATGTAAGAGTAGGAATGATGTAGCTTGTCCCAAAGAATGTTCTGGTCTGAATTGGTGATGAGGACTTTCTTGACTGAATTATGCAGATTAGACTAATATAAGGGAAGGTTTATTTGCTTCATAAAGCAATGTAATCTTGATTGAGCTAGTGAAAGACTTGATCCACCCTACCTATCACATCTATGACAACAGGTTTTTGTAAATAATCATTTTTTCATCTACTCCACCAATAGTTGGGCTGAAATCTGTGCCATTACTAATGATGCAGTGATGTTGCATTTATGTGTTCAGTTTCAACGTTTTGTCACTATAGCATATTTGACAATGCTTGACACTTGTGAAGAAAATGTTGACAACATGGTTCATGACTGGCTAAATGATTGCATAATGGTCATTCAACTGAATCAACAAGATTTTAAGATGGTTGTAAATTCTAGATATCAGATTTTGCAAGATCATATTGTTTTTAAGGTCTATGCAAGTAGGGTTCTCCTTTATCCTTTCTGCTGTCATTTCCTCTCATTGATCTACTTCTCTATGGTTTTCTTTTGCTATTGGTAAATTTTTAAGTAGAATTTCAGTTCACTTTTTTTCCTTCATCGTCAGGTTGGAGCTCCTGCGCGTGTTGGACTTGTTGCGCCAATTGATGTTGTTGTTCCCCCTGGCAACACTGGATTGGACCCTTCACAGACTTCTTTCTTCCAGGTCAATAAGAAAATGTCTTGTATACCATACCAAATACCGTTTGTAGTTTCATACTGAAACTCCTTTCTCTCAGGTGCTCAACATCCCAACCAAGATTAACAAGGGTACTGTGGAAATCATTACCCCTGTTGAACTGATCAGGAAGGGAGAAAAAGTGGGCTCTTCTGAGGCTGCTCTCCTTGCAAAGCTTGGGATTAGGCCTTTTTCATATGGCCTTGTTATTCTGTCTGTGTATGATAATGGATCGGTCTTCAGTCCCGAGGTGTTGGATCTCACAGAGGATGACCTCATTGAGAAGTTTGCAGCTGGTGTCTCATTGGTTACTTCACTGTCTCTCGCCATTTCTTACCCGACACTTGTGGCGGCTCCTCATATGTTCATCAATGCGTACAAGAATGTGCTTGCTGTTGCAATTGCTACAGAGTACTCCTTCCCACATGCAGAAAAAGTTAAGGAGTACCTAAAGGTATATTCATAATCTGAGCTATGGGTTCTAGTCCTGTTCTGCCATTGAATATATGTTCTAAATCTTATGATTGGTGCAGGATCCAAGCAAGTTTGCTGTTGCTGCTGCTCCTGTGGTTGCCGAAGTTGCTGCAGCTGCATCTTCTTCTGCACCTGCAGAAGAGAAGAAAGAGGAGCCTGCCGAGGAATCTGATGATGACATGGGCTTTAGCTTGTTCGATTAGTGTGTTCGAGTTGCATAGAACAAGTAGCATTTGGAGGTTCCATAATTATCTTGTTGAGCTATTAGATTTTACTACCAAAATTTCTAGATGTCGTGAAGCTCTGGCTTTTCTCTTCTTGGCAAATGTTTTCTAGTTATTAAAATTTTCATACGTTACATGGGTGTGATATTACTAAGAGAATTTGCTTTGGGTGCATATCAGGTGGATCTGTTCGTCTGTTTCACGGGTTGAGATATAAAGAAAGAAAATTTTTTTTTTAATCATCAGGTGGATCATAATGAAAAAAAATGGAAGAATTTTTGAAAAAGTACTTTTGTAATTTTTTCAGAGCATTTTTATTTTAAAAAGATATTTAAACAGCGTCTTTTGAGGAGTTATTTTATCTATTTAAACTTGGATAGCTAATTTTAAAATTGTTTTATTTAAAATAATGGATTTGGATGTCTGATTCAGTAAAGCTTTTGTTGATTGATCCGATTTATTCAGTAAGGTTTAATATAAATTGATTGTTGCATTGCAACGCTGTCATAGTATTGATACTGATATGGACGAAGAAGCAAAATGTTTCTCTTCTATCATTGTCTTTTTCTTTATTCCATACGTGGATTATTATTGTTTATTTTCTTTTTTATTTTTATATTTTTTTTCTTTCCTCTTGAATCAAGAATACCAAAAATATTATGTAAGTATACTATTATCTTTATTATTGTTCGATCATTATTTAAATAATTTAATAATTATTTAAATAAGATTATATATGTATGTAAATTTATATGTAGTATGGTATTTAAAATATCTTTTCTTCTTTGATATTCATTGTTAAATTTGTGAGCCTGTAAAAAGATATTACATTTATCAAAGGTTTTGTACATTTATGTAAGTCAAAACTAGTTAACTTGTAAAAAAAAAAACATTGTATATATCTTACAGTTTCATTGTATTTTTGGTCAAAAATAATGTATCATATATTAGTAAAAATATTTTGATGGTTAAATTTCAAATATAAAAAATTATTATATGAGGGCATGATATTTTTAAAAAAATTAAAAAAATAACACACTATGCATGACTTGAATAATTCTAAAAAATATTTTAAAATTTTTAAATGAAAAAAATACTGACTTATGGCCATTTAGATCCAATTCAAACGTATCTAAAAATTTTTAGGATATTTTGAGATATCTACTATGTGATGCATTATTTTTAGATTTTGACCTACAATAATGAATTACATATTAGTAAGATTTTTTTTATGATCAAATTTTTATCAAGTGTTTAGGACTATTTAGAAGGTTAAATGTAAAAAAAAATTACATTAGTGCATAATATTTTTGAGAAAATTATAAAAATATTTAAAAATTAGAAAATAGCACACTATGCACATCCTGAATAATTCTAAAAATATCAATAAAAAAATACTGACATATGTCTATCTAGATCTAACTCAATAGTATCTTAGAACTTTTAAGGACATTTTGATAAATTTGGCTATGTGATGATGCACATATTAGTAAAAGTTTTCTGATGATCAAATTTTTATCAGGTATTTAGGACATAATTAGAAGGTCAAATGTCAAAAAAATGATACACTATGCAGGGCTTGAATAATTTAAAAAAAAAAAAATTAAAATAGAAAAACACTGACATATATCCATCCAAATCCCATTAAAAGGTATTTAAAAACCTTTGAGGTATTTTGACAAGTCCTACTATGCAATATACTATTTTTGAATTTTGATAAAAAATGATGCATCACATATTAGTAAAAAAAAATTTATGGTCAAATTTTTAACAGGTGTGTGAGACTTAATTAGAAGGTCAAATGTTAAAAACCTTGTATTAGTGCATGATACTTTTATAGAAATTTGAAAAAGTTTTTAAAAATAAAAAAATAAAATATGCATAAGCTAAATAATTCTAAAAAAATATTAAATAAAATTTCTAAAATAGAAAACATACTGACATATGTCCATCTAGATCAAATTTAAAGAGATTTTAAAAATTTTAGAACATTTTGACAAGTCCTACTATATAATGAAATGCTTTTAGATTTTAACCAAAAAATAATATATTGCATATAAGAATATATTTTCTAAGGGCCAAATTTTTATCAGGTGGTTGTGACCTTATTAGAAGCTCATATGTCTGATATTTTTGTGAAGATTTAAAATTTTTAGATAATTAGAAAAACACTTTGCAAGAGCTAAAAAATCTAAAATTTAAAGATATATATATATATATATATATATATATATATATATATATATATATATATA